GAGGGGGGGGGGGGGAAGGCGCCCTCTGCCCCGCTGACAGGCTGCGGCGGCCGCTGCGCTGAGGTGGGTGGGGGTCCCGGGCTACCCGGGGCCTGCTTGTGCAGCGCCATGCAGGTGCTGCTGCTGAGGCTGTGCGGGTACCCTGCCTCTGCAGGTGACGACCAGCTGTACCTATTTTTCCAAAATTTATAGGTAAGCAATACTCAAACAGAAAAAAATCTCCATGGTTAAATGATTAAAAATGGCAGAAGATATTCCAAGGCAAGAAGTAAGCAGGCGTGACACAGGATTCAGGCACACTGGATCAAAGTCATCAATAACTGAAGAAAAGTCTCTGTAAGTTCCCTAAATACCAAAATAGACCTGACTCTAGTATATAGTACTTCTTTAAGCAACCTACTAGTAACTAGTGAACCATAATATACATTGCAAGTACTATAATATTTGATACATTCCTTTAAGCAAATATATGTGTCCTTTTCTGCGTCCCTGGTGCATACAGATATGCAGTTATTAACAAAAGAAAGGAAAAGGTACCGTTATCCATAGACAATGCAGTGCACAAATTGAGGAGAGGCTGACTTAAAATGTCTTTCTAGTTATTTCTCTGATGCAGTGCATTCAGTTCTGTGTAAATGCAAAATGTTTTTTTAATTCTCATATTTAAAAGCTAGGTTTTTCCACTTCATTCTCCCCTTCAAAATCTGCACTCTGGAATTCCAGTTTCATTGTACTGAAAACCAAGGATCAGTGTTTTGTTTTGAGGTATTTTGACATTATTAAATGGGAAACTAAGTTCCTGTACAGAAATTTCTGTTAGTACAAAGGTGTATAATAATACTGGTTCAGTGTCAGCAAATCAGACGTAGTTACTGAGGTTTTTCTGGCAGAAGCAGTGAATTGGTTATATCTTAACCTACTGTGGAGTCTTGTGGGATGTGTTCTGAAAATACACGTAATCCTTTTTTCAGACCCTTTTTGTATCCCCAAATTGAAGTTCAGCTCAGTTCTTAATGTGCAATTTCAAACTGTAATGCATTTATTTTTCTAACATTCTATCTTTTTATCCTCTAGTGTTTATCCAAGTTGATGTAAATTATTGATATTGTAGCACATAAAGTAAAAATAGAAGAGTTCACCCAAGTTTTATTCCAAAAATAAAAATGTGACTTGAACCAAGCAGGGCTATATTTCTCCTGGGCTAAGACTTTCATATGGTAGTCTGGCTAGAAGGTAAGGTGGATATAGATTTCTAAAAGCCATTTCAGACCCTTTTAAAATGGAAGGTCAGTTTAAATGCAGATGGATTGGTTTGGAAACACGGATGAACTTGTTCACTCTCCCGTGCTGGTACTTGCTGCTCCATGGTGTTCCATGCTTAAGAACCTGTAGGAACATTATCTGCAGCAATACATTTGTGCATGTTGGAGAGTGGGGGCCGCTGTGTGTTTCTTTCCTCAGAATTATGTGCTGCCCTGTTGATATATGTGCAGAGTAAGTGACTTATCCAGTACCATCCAAAATCCTTGATTAGAAGAAATATTGTACCTATATTATTGACTTTCTAACTACAGGGAAGAGAGATTTAGTGAGCAGCACAGTGGCTGTTTGGTTGCTTTAAGAGCTGCCAGGATGAGTTTTGCAGTGTTTTTGCCAAAATGAAAAGTTCATTGGACAAAGACAATGATTCTTGCTGTGCTAATGCCTGGAAAGGCTCACTAACAAGGGGCTCCTGAGTGCAGGCTTGTCTGAGGAAGAGAAACATTTTGTGTCACAAAAACAGAAGTTACTTTCTTTACCAGCCTTCTACTGCTGAGGAAGTGGAGGAGAAGGGAATAAATGAACAAAGTGCTGATACACTATGCAGTGCTGTGAGGGTAATCAAGGAACATTCATGTTCAGGAAAGGGTTTTGAAGTACTGAAAATTATGGTATTGGTTTGCTTTTGTTCTGCTTAAAAAATTGGTTGGTGATTTTTTTTTTCCCCCCTAGCCCTAGTTTTAAGCTGTCATCTGAACACACTTAGTGTGATACATTGTGTGTCTGTAGCTTCTCTTTCATTACAAACTTCCCTTCCCTAGCGGTGAATTCTAGTGGTCTAACCCAAGGAAATAGAAGAGAGCAGAAAGTGAGATGAGAGCCTATGGATCAGCAACAGAAAAGGAGAAGGGGACAAAAAGCTTTGTACAAACCCTGAGCATAACTGGCCAGGTGAACACTAAACTTTTTACCAATCTATTCTACAGCTGAACTTCAGTAATGTAGAGCCAGAGAACAGAAAGACGCCATCAGTCCGAACGTGCCCCCCTTCCTTCTTCTTCCCCCAGCTTATATACTGAGCATGATGTCATATGGTATGGAATAGCCCTTTGGCCAGTCTGGGTCAGCTGTCCTGGTTATGCTCCCTCCCAGCTTCTTATGCACCTGGCAGAGCACAAGAAGCTGAAAAGTCCTTGACTGGTGTAAACTCTGCTCAGCAAGAACCAAAACATCAGTGCGTTATCAACATTATTCTCATCCTAAATCCAAAACACAGCACTATACCAGCTACTGAGAAGAAAACTAACTCTATCCCAGCTGAAACCAGGACACTGCCATTGTTTAATTATGCAAAATTTTTGCAAGGAATTTTCCCCGCTCTGGGGAAGAGATGTTCTCTGAATAATGCATTGTGTAAGGCCATACATCCTTTCCTTGTGTCAAAGCCAGAAAGCTGGATGGCTGTGGCTAGAATGCCGCTACTCTGGGATAAATGTCTGACAGTGGAAGGCTGAGCTTTCCCATCTGAATGCTGCACAGCAGGCAAGAAACTCTGCTGAACACAGCTGAGAATTGGCCTGTGGTAATGGCACATGAGGAAGAGGGAGGAAGTCTGAGATTTTTCATTCTTTGCTGCTGCTTTGTAAGGAGCAGGGCATGTCAGTAGCCTGTTGCTGGCTGGTCCTCTTTTTCTCCACCCCTCATCCAGTTGTTCCTTCCTCAGGCACTGACTGTACCCCGCTGTGTGGAGAGGGAGTACTGACATTGTATGTTGAAAAAGGAGACGTTTGCAGAGCTACACATTTGAAAAAACTGGACGGAGTTAATTTTACAGTTTCTTATGAAATACATGAAAATTCAGGAAAATTAATGCATCTCCTGACATAGCATGATATGAATTAGTAAAAGGAGTAGCTTTTAGTAGTAGAGCATGTATGAGATACAAATAGCTCAGAGCAGAGTTAAAGCTAGCATACGTCCTTTTGCATCTTTCACTGTTCCTCTGCCCTTGTAGCCACTACTTTCTTGGTCAGAATATCAAGAGAAAATGTAAGGCTGTGGAAAATGGATCTTTGTTTGCCTGCTTATCCTGGCGGCATTATGGTCCTGGAGTCAATTTTCTTTTCCTTCTTCCTGTGCTGATGGTAGCATATTGACCATGGAGAGAGGTGCGTTTGGTACACTGGTGATTGTGTTCAGCCTACCTGAGATAATGGCATAATTACTGCTATCACTCTATTCAGGCAGCTGTTTGGCTGACGTTCTGTATGAACACTGTATTTTTTGGCTTTGCATGGACCTTTCTCACCTTACACGCAGTTTCCATGATTCACAAGAAAATTCCATCTCCTTCAGTCTCCTGGTCACGCCACTACTGCACTAGAAGCACCAGGGAATCATTTACCCCTCCAATTCACAGAGCAATGCTTGCACTAGCCCCCGGAGATTTCTGTGGTAAGCAACCCGAAACACTTGAAAGGGATGTAATTTCCAAGGGGTCAGTGTTCATGGCTGAAAGATTCAGCAATATATTAAGCTGGGCATTTTCGTGAAAAGATCTGTTTGTATTTAATGTGCGTTGAATTATTATTCCCACATTGTGTGCAATGACTGAAAATTACGTATTCAACAGCAAGGTCGACTCTGTAAAGCAGATAGCACCTCTGTTAATAAATATATACATCCTGCCTTGTATTTAGCTGGGGTTTATTCATAGAAGGCAGGAACTAATTGTCCATCTTCCTTTGTGTCTAAATGTGAGAGCCAGCCACTTGACTTTGGATGCCTGAGATTCAAACCTGGAGGGAGTTCAGAGCAAGGTATAAGAAAGGAAGGTGAATTCCAAGTGGGGGGAGGTACTTAAGTGGAGTAAGCAAGTTAAGGCTTTCAGTCCCAGTTTCACAGAGGCACCATGCAGACAAAGAGAGTTTCAGATATGTCCTTTTCCTGAGTAATGCTCCCCTCCTGGCCCCACATGCTGGTCCTACTTTCTCATTGTTGTGAATATCAGTTTCAATGTCAAACTTCCCTGTGGATATTCACATTTGAATACTTAACGAGTCCTGTGTTTCCAACCCCTAGAATTAGGAACCTAACATTTAGGTGGAGCAATGTGAAGTGTCCAAATAGATAATGTCGTTTTCTGAACGCTGTCCTAATCATTAGTGTCTGCTGCATGGCATTGCAAGTAATAATAAGAATTCTGCAGAACAGAATACAGATGAACTAGAAAATTCTCTCTTGAGAGGAGAAATTGATGTAGATTTTTCCTTTCATCCTGGCAAGGTTTCTTATGTTGGTTGGTACTTTCTAATTGCTATCAGCAGTATCAAAAGACACAAAGTTATGTAAAAGAAGTTCCAGCCTTGCCCAGAAAACAATAACTGTGCCATATTCAAAGTTAATTGGGTGACCCAATTTTAAACCTGAAATACTGTATGAACTTAGAGACTGTATCAGTGCAATTATAAGTTGCTCAAAGAACACATCTATAGTCTTAGGTACAAAAAGCTGGAGGCCAAAACACAGTGTTGGAAGCACATTAGCAGTTAATGACTGAGAAGAGAGGTGACCAGTGGAATGGGAGTGTATACAACTACCATATGATAAAAGCCAGATACTTCCATTTTAGCCCAATTGTACTTTGTAACAGACTGGTATGAAGGCAGTTTAAGGGATTGTGTTCATCGTTCCCCTGGATTGCAATAAAGCATCATCCTGCTTCTTTCCATATGCCATTTAGTGTTTCAAATAGATTAACTGAGCAAGAGTTCAGGAAACACTCTAAATTCCCTTTACAAACTAAATCAGACTGTAAGTTTTGAGTTTCTGTTTCATTCATCATGTGCTTTTGAGACCTCCTCATGTTCTTGTTAATAATTCAGCCTTTACCTGTTCTAGGTGTATTGCTCAGTGAGACAGTACCTTTGGCTGAGTCCAGCATATGGCCAACAGGAGCTATGTCAGGTAAGGAATGCAACCTTTATTTTTTCACCTTATTCTCCTCTGTTGTTAATCAGCTTTGGAATAGAACTATACTGCATGCAGTCGGGTTCCTGTATGTCAACAACTGTTAGCTTGGGTAGCCTGTTACTTTGAAACAGTTGGAGAAATGCCAAAGATCTCCAGTGTCTTGACGGCTGTTAAGCTTTTGCTTTTTATGTTGTTTGTTGCAGCAGCTGAGAACACAGCAAGTCCTGAAGCAAACTGGATTAGGTAAGAAAGAATTTTTAGAAGTCATCTTCTATGGCACCTTAGAGAAAAAACAAATGTGTTGTTCTGACTCCCTTCCCACAAAATAGATAAGTGCTTGTCTCATTCTGCTAACACGTCATAATTATATTACAGACGGGCAGCTAGTAGCTGTGAAGTGTTGCTCTGCGGGCAGCTGTATTTCTTAACCTTTTTCTTTTTTGTCTTTCTCAAGTAATGGAATTAAAGCTATCAAGCCAGGCAAAATAGCTGATTCCTGATTTCATCCTAACACCAAGAACATTGTGAAAGAAAGTTACTCACTGAGAACATATAATTAAAAATAATGGTTACTGACTGTTGTTGCTTCTCAACGTGGCCTTCATACATTTGTAGCAGCACAGCTGTATTTGACTCAGGTTGCACTAGAAGTGTTAATTCCATTCACGAACATTCCCTACGGGTAGAACTGCCCTTGTGATTGTGGGCTTGTTCAGCCACTTCTCTTTCTACTGCTTTTCAGAAATGACTTGCTAGAGAGAGACTTTTGAACTGAGTGGTGCATGGCATGATGAAATACAGATCTCTGTGACTGGTAAAATTCTTGGTTGTATTTATTAGGGAACTCTTCAGCCTCATCTCTGAAAGGAAATAACAGCGTTTAGTTTCTACAGACCTTACCTGTTAGTTTCATTTGGAAGAGTGATTCTTATAAATCGTACCTTAAAAGCTGCTAGTCTTGAGTTATGAGTTTGTGGTGTTGATGGTTTTGATGATGGGCAGTGCCTACAGTATTGGAAGAGGAATAAGCTTTTACAACCTTGATACTGTAAGAAAGAATGGATTGTGAAGAGTGCAGCCTGTGCTGCTTTCATTATAACTCCTGTCTGAAGAATTGACTCATGGTATACTTTTTCCTCCTTCGGTTCTTTGCCGAAAAAATAAAATGGTAGCGCTCTTTCTCATCAGGATTCATGGCCCCGTCAATATCAACCTATTGTGAAATGAAACCTAGGGAATTCATTATCAAAAATTTTAAAAAGAAAAATCAGTTCACTGAGAATATTAATGCTGTGGGTCACATAGTTTCCAACTAAGGATTTATATATCTAAGTGTTAGGTCTTTAAAAAAAAATGTTCTTGCAAGGGTTAAATTACATTCTTATGTATGTGTATAGTAACAAGAGTAGCTCTTTTTAAGTCATTGTGATAATGGAGCTAGTGACAAGACAGTTGGCACAGTCGCGCTAAGGTGATCTTCACTCTTGCAAGAGAAAATATAGTTAGATTAGCACATTTTTGCAGAGATACGCAGTTATCCATGTATATAAAAGATTTGACTCCTGTTAGCCAGCAGATGCCTGTGTCCTTGACAAAGCTGTCTTTGCAAGATAGATGTATCTATAGAATGCATAGTGATCTGTACTATATGCCACAGTTTCCTCTCCGAAATGCTTTGTGACTTGCAAATATATAAACATTTTGGGGACTAGGTGGAGGATCTTGGAGTATTGCAATGATACCTACTCTGGTAAGGCTGCCCTAAGGCCCAAGTGTATCAGATTGCTGTAGTACCAAGTAAACCCTCTACTCTGTCCTTGGCACAGTTCCAGCTCTACCATGGAGGCTGTACTGAACTTGCAGGTATGCAATTGCACCTTAGCTTTGCAGCCTTCCGAGCCTTTCCTCTTTCTTGCATTCGGACCCAGGTGTGCAAGTCTCAAATAAAGCTTGCTAACTGCAGCCCTGCATCTCCTTGTTCCACGTGTGCTGTTTTCTAATTACGGCTTTCGGGAGATAGAATTCTTTTACAGAACAATTCTTTAGGAGGACTCTGTCACTAATAAGCAGCGTACTGTAACAGCGTACTGTAAATGCTTTGGTAAAGGCTTTATTATATCCTGCAAGGGGGAGGTATCCTGCAACAGGGGAGGACACTTGTTTTACCATGGGCTGCTTGAGTCCAGCTGCAAGGCTCACACTAAATACAGATTTGAGATTCATATGGAAATGGTGTGTTGTACGCAAAAATAGACTGAGCTTTTATTTAGGTGTAAGAAGGTAGAGGCATCTCTGGCTTTTTTTTTGTGGGTAATAAAGGAAAATATAGGAGTATTTAGGGAAAATTTTCTTCCTAGCATTGAAATCTGAAACAACAGAAAGTGCTGCTTAAAACTGTTTGAGAAAGTGCTGTCTCTGCTCTTTTTAATTTCCTGGGTGGGCATAGAACTAGAAGAGTGATGCTGATCCCAAGGGGGATCTTGTCTTTACATTTGACTTCTACTTGGAAAAACAAAAATCCCATCCATTGTTTCATAAATATTTCCCTGCGCAAGCAGAATTTTACTAAACTCTGCCAGGTGGAGAGTTTCCTGATTCAGTAGCAGTGTTCTTTGCTACTTCTACCCTCAGCTTAGTCATTGAGCAAATGTCAGGGAATCATTGAGCAAATGTCATGGAAAGAGAGAAAAGGTTTATGATAGTTCAGCTATAAGAAAAATTTGTTCTGCTATTCTTTGGTGACCGATACTGTTGCCAGTTCTCGTCTCTTCCATGGTCTCCCTACTTCTATTCTTCTCTGTTATCCAGCCTAGCATGAACTGAAAGGCAGAAGGGAGCTGTAGTTAATTTGGGCCTGAAAGACAGGCAGGGCTAGAGGTTTCAGAAACATGTCTTTTTTTGGGATCTCTCCCTTTTTTTTTTCCCCTGAGTAAATGTGTCCACAATTATCTAATTGGCAGTAAATTTTAACACAAAGTAAAAATTACTATAAACAGAGAAAATGGAAAGGGAGAGATAGCTTAGTGTGGTGCAATGATTTCCAGAGAAAGGGTTGTCCTGTAGGGTTAAGAATGCCTGAGGGTCAGTCCACCGAACACACCAAGACTCTGGCTGGTAGAAAGTTGTTTGCTTTCAAATGCTTAGCAGCTCACGCCAGATTTTGCAGGATCTGTCATCTTATCGAGGCATTTGTTTTAAAAACTATTTTTTTAACAATTGTTCTCCAGTATAGTTGCCGTTTGATTTAGAAAAAGGAGAAATTATTGGAAAGTTCCCTGTGCCAGTTATTGCATGCTTTTTAATACATTAACTTTGAGATTAGCCAGCAAAACCTGGAGATATAGGGAGAGCAGCAGCTGTTCTCCTTCAGGTTCCTGATCCTTAAATATGTCAGCTAGGCGGTCTACATACCACCTATGTACCAGTATCCAGTTACTTCACCTCTGCCATGGGACAATCCTGTCATGTCTGTAGCATGTCCAAACAACCTGTCATGAGCTATTTTTAACATGGTTGCATTTACTCTACAGAATTGGTATAAAGCCTGTTCTGAAAAGAAAAGGAAAAAAAATACTAAAAGCCCCGTTTCTGATATTGAAAGTATGTAATATTGCTGTTGCTGAAAGTTCTGGATGTGTGGGGAATAAACTCAGACTGAGTGCATTAAGCAGGAGGAGTAGTAAAAAGTGTCGAGTGGGATGGCAGTTTTCATGTCTCCTTGTCTGTTTTTCACGCTATATTTTAAACTTACTGGAGGGCTGAATGATAGATGTGATTAATTCCATGTCACTTGTAAGAAGAGGGCATGTTTGGTGCACATCTTGTCTTCACTTGTTCTCTCATCGTTTCTGTCAATAGTTACATGAATGATCTTTGTGCTTTGTGTGTAGCCTGTGAAGTGGATATAAAGACCTGTCAGACTACCTTTTCTAATACATTTTCATTTGAGGAAACAAACCTAACATAAATGTCACCTGCAGTATGAGCAGCCATAGCAGATGGAGCATTGAATTAATGGCTCTGAGAGGCAAGCCAGGAAAGATTATGAAATGAGATAAATGTGGTACATACGCTACACAATTAAAAAAAATTTCTGTGATTAAAAATGAGTTCAGGAAAGAAGAGTATATTTTCAAAAAGTTACAGAGTATTTAAAAATCACCTATCTTTGGTACTTCTGGAGAAGTGTTAAAAATCATTTGCCATTATGTTTATAGGGAAAATCCCCCATTAATTTAATTAAAAAGACTTTTTCAGCTGTGGGTCTTACATTCTTTTGTAACAAATATTTTGAATATGCTGAAAAAGGTAGGGAATTTGCTTATAAAATGCATCTGATATGATGCGTCATGTTTTGTGGCAAGATCACTGTCTCAGTGAAAAACCATTATAAAACTAAACTGATTGCTACATTGAAAATCATATATATTGTCATCAAATGTAGAGGAGGGACTGCTGTTTGTCAAAGAAAGTGACTTAAATTTAGCAACTGACAATAAATAGGAAGGTGATGTTAGTGCAGCTCCCTTGCTGGTGTTCCCTGGACTTGTGAAAGGAATGGAAGCAATTTATATGCTGGCAGAAGGTTGGGAGGGTTGGCAGAAGTCAGCTAACAATAAACTAAAGGAGTATATGTCAGTGACTCACATAAGTAGGGTAAGTTGCTTCTCACTAGTGGTAGTTTGGCTTCTTTCCAGTTTCAAGAGTGAAGGACTATCACAACTGACTGTAATAATGTGTATGTTGTAATACAGAGAAACTAGCTGGTTTGATAGCTGGACAAAAGGTGGTGGCATGGTGATTTGTGATGGCGTAAGGTTGCTCAGGTGAGAGCTTCAGAGAGTCCAGCAGCACTGCTGAGAAAATGTGCTTGGTTTCACACTCCCTCATAGCAGCAAACTGGCTGCTGTGAAATGAACACCTTTTCACCAATCTGTGAAAAGGCATTTGGAACAGAAAATTCATCCCCTCTCTGAGCTGGAAGGCGAGTGCTCTTTGTGACAGGCTGAAAGACTGGGGATGCAACATGTACAAGGAACAGCTAAGAATGCAATTTAGAGTACCTGTTAAATCAGATTATGTCCTTTCAGCTGTAAACAGTTGTGGTGAAGAGTCCACACCCCGCTCCCCCTTTCATAAATTAGGGTGATCTTTCCACATGTGAAAGTCTGTGTGTCCAGGGGAACGTCTTTTGCAAACTGATTAGCTCCACGAGAATCAAAATGGGAAAAACAGTGTTTTAG